CTTAGTCCTTTAGATTATCTGGGACGCTCAGGCCCTCATTTCATGGCCCGTTAATATTTCACGTTTTTTCGTTCAGAGTTTTTTCTTTTTTTACTTTTTTTCCTTACTTTTTTTCATTGGTCCCTTTTCTCATATTTCTTTCTTTCTGACATTCATCTATTCAACGAACTGCATTCTTTAGCTATTCGCTGTGATGTTTGCAAAGGCGTTAGTTCCGATCCGTAGCGATATGCATCGTCGACGATGAGAAGGGGAACCCATTCAGTTCAATGTAGGCGGGGTTTTGGAATCGTCAACTTATCGTCTCTCTGGTCAGCCTTATGGAAAAGTAGCATTTAGCGAACGATATTGAATGTTAATGATGGACATAACACCCAGATCACATGGCGATGATCATAAAATTCTGATCGTACCCCTGGTGACTTTCGTCACGGGACTCTCATGTGACAGACGAACGACATGATGTTCAGCTAAGCACCGTTTACACAGCTGTATATGTAGAGCTAACATCAATGAGCTATTATTATAGTGCATGATGTTTTTCGCGAAATGCAGTAGCCATCGACCGAGAACGAGAGAGAGAGAGGGATATACGGTAGTCAAAGTTTGTCGTGTACATGATCGTACCAACCACGATCTTGATTACGGTAATCCGATTCCTTCTATAGAAGAGAAGGTTTGTATCCGTTTTCAACACAACACAACAAAGGATGTTCAATGTAGTTAGGTCAAGATCTTGTCCGAGTTGTTGTGTCTCTGGACTTCTTCAGTGGACGAGTTTTGCTGGTACTGAACTCACGAAGGAAGCGATCCCCCGGAGGTTGGTGTTTCTGGGAGGATTCAAGTGAAATTCGAGGTTTGTGTAGGTCATTGAATTGGATTAAGACCGGATTAGGCAGTAATTTTGAGAAACCCGAAAAGTTACTGTGTTAAAAGTACTGGGTTCTGTTGTGCCGTATGATGGCCGTCAGGTACCCCCCACTGATCCCTACTAGTCCCTACAGTGCCCTAATCGCCTCAGCAGTTTCCAATGGTTCCGGTGATCCTCAGCGTTCATCATGATCACAGCAACAGTCAAGGCGGATGACGATGGTTGTCGATCCAGACCCGATATCGAGATCTGCAAGTTTTGCGTAGTCGACCGCCTTTCATACCAGCCAGCCTCACATGATGATGATTTTTGTCATTATTTTGCGTCCAATGTCCGTAATCACGGAAATCCACTTGAGATCATTTCGTAATGACGAATATTTATTGCATTTTTCTGCTATTTGGCCTCAATCTTGGCACTCTACTTAAGGACTAATCGGAAGATTGTAAACTACTTGAGTGCTCCTCGTCATGACCTATCTTTACGGATTTTTTATTTTTTATAAATTTACCCACTCATCCTGATTCTGTGCAAAGAATGTTTTGGAAACAATCACTTTTGCCTTCATTACAGGCTGGCATTATTGGTGCCACTCAGCTTCAGCTATTCAGCAATCAATAAAACCGATCGATAGGTTGGTGGGGCCCATTCTTTTTTTGGGGGAAACGCTAGACTTTATTGGCCTATACATAGGGATGGGTACGGTGCTTCCGCTATCCGCATTGTCCTCTTGACAGCATTCAGAGCAGCAAAGAAGCATTCATTTAGATTTGTTATTATATTAAGTGACTTCGTTTCACTTCAAATTACTCGTGCTTACGGTAGTTTCTTCTTCTTCGTCTTTCATTACCGTAATCCTCTTCATCGAAAGTCGATCTGTCTGTCATACGGGCTGCCTTAACGACAAGTTTTTTGGCAAGTTTTCAGTGTGTGAGTATCTTGATGTTGATGACGATGCTTGGACTTTTGGTCTTAATTTATTGATCTATTTAAATATTTTGTTATTATTTACCACTTAGTTACTGTAATTTGTACAAGAGGAAGCCTTGCTTAATTTTTAAAACTTAAATTCTTGCAGTTTTCAATTTTGTTCCCGCCCCAAACAAATTTTTAGTCTCAAAAGAATGAAAAAAGGTTTTTCAATCAATAATCTAAGCAGATCATTCATTGATCGATATTGATCGGTTTTCGCAGTCTACCATACCACCGATCTGAATATTTCTGTAGAAATGTTGAAAGCATGGCTCAGAAAACGGTTATTTCTATTGTTTTGATTAATCCTTCGACAGAAAATCCCCTTCTTACCGCCTTTCATAGTGCTCCCATTATCGAGACAGGTCGGCCGTTTAGAAATGCGCTGTGTTTACAAATGAGCGACTTATCCGTACGATACATCTCACATTTATCGATTTTTATTGATTGATNCTGAAAAACTCCATCTGCTCAATCACCTGATTTTTTTCACTTTTCGGGTTATTTATGGCTTAGCTGACCTTCGGTTTTGAATGTTTTCCAACAAGCGAGCAGGACTTACATCCCAGATCTAACCAAGTAGAATTAACCCACTCATTGTGGGAGAAATGGGAACTATCGGATCTCTCACGAACTCCCAAACTGGAGCGGATATGGATAGGACCTACAGCCGGATAAATGACTATGACTGACCGAAAGCCACAAACCGGGCTAAGGCGGGTGGGTTGTGTATTCTCGTGTATTCAGCAGCTAAGCAAACGATGGCCAAGCAGCAATCCGAGGGTAGTATGAGTTATGGCGTCAAGTAATTCGACCTTGTAAGTACAATTCCTGAATTTGCGCCTTCAAATACGGCCTTTGTTCTCCTCCTTTACTCTCATGTTCAACTTTTGAATTTCGACTAAACCGGTTGACGGGGAGAGGAGAGACGGAATTCCAGTGGGTATGACATAAAGCTTATTGGAATCAACATTGTTATCATCGAGGGTTTCCATCGAGGATTTCTCGGTTTCTGCTGCCTGGGAAAGCGTCCCGTTTCCTTTTTAGGATTTTTCATAGATTCTGATGAGCGGGATGTTCGGGGTCTCTTCTAAGGGTAACACCATATTCATTCAGTGCTTTCCATTTTTTTCAGCGATTTCCCTTTCAATCTGCGTGTGTAGCACCAATGTCGAAGAGCACTTAAGTCATTTAGCGTGCTGCGGCGCAATGGCGATTAATCTCGACATTGAAATTGGCTTTGCGCTCAAAAGGGGGCAATCACTTTGAAACTATGTGGCTGTGAGGTGATTTGATTAGTTCTACATATGATTGTATGGCGCACATGATTACCGGCCGAGCCTGATGGATGGCCTTTGGGCCGAGCAATGGCGTTCTTGCTGGTTGCTCCATTGTATGTATAGAAGTATGGCCAACAATCACTTCAAACCACCTAACATCAACCGGCCGCCTTTATTCTCCCATAGAAGATTAGCATCTACACGTCGTCATCGTCCACAATGACGACCTTTCTTCAGGTGGACGACCGGTGGACCACTTTACGCCGCCCGCTCTCGTATTTTCCGCTCGCTTTGCAAGTGTGATTTATTTCTTTTCTATTTTCAATAGGAACTAATGGGAGATTTTCGATTTTCAGTACTCAACCCCATATTTGTGCGATTTACCACATATTCAGTATGAGGATGACGATTTTCTTGAGAAAAAGGCTTCCTAACTAATGCCAGAAATCCAAATTCACGTAGCTTCAACCGGACACGTAGAAATGACTAGGATCCATCTGCTTTCCTTAGGTTACCGAAACCCTTCGTTCGGGCTAATTGAAACGGGGGAATTTGATCTTTTCTCTCCTGGAAATTCGTCCGGAATAGAGCCAAAGGTCATTTCTGCTAAGTGTTCCGTCACCTTAGTCTACCCCTGGTCTGCTGCTTCAGAATTGCAGTTGTCCTCGTTGTCCTCGTTGTTTCACCCGAACGTCCCAGGTGAATCAGCGACGATAGAGAATTTCATTACTCACAGAGCGAGAAAAAGGCCGGTTCAAGCCTTCTTTGAAGTATTTTTTAGGGAAAATATTTCTTTTCCGTCCTTAAAATTGTTGCGGTAGGGACGCAGAGGACTGGTCTACCTCATCTCTAGATCTAACTTACAGTAATCCTCCAGGCGAATAGTTTCCTTTCCATACTATATAAATTCTTCATAATGGTCAGCAGTATTTATGTAATGCAGGGAATTCAGACTTTCCCATTGGGAATAATGCTTCAACGAATAATCTGTAATGATTTTTTTTCGAATTTAAATCAGTTGGCGACGTCACTAAATATGTGATCGGGCCGTTATCAACCACGAGACAGAGGAATTCGATCAATTGATTGATTTTCAATTCAATGATCAGATTTTCAAGTCATCAATGATGACGTTTCACAATTCCTGAAGCTCGTACAGCTTCCACGAAATTCCTCTACGTCCTTGACATACAGTGCTGCACTCTGCTTCTCTGCATTCTAACCTCCATTGTCTAACATGATAGTCCGGTCGGTACCTTCATTTTCTTCCGTAATTCACACTACAATTGAGAATGGGGCGCTGTTTCAGTCTGCTTTGTTGCTTTGCAGGCGAGTTTCTTCGTATGTATTCGCCTTTACCCGTCGTCGGACTACAGTAATCCTTCACATCCGTTTTCATTGTGTAATTGCGACTTTCAACTACCGTAATCTGTATATCTGTTTACACAAATGTTGCCATATCTTTTTGTCGTCATAAATTGAATTTTATTGTGATGATGAAGTAGTTTCTGGAAGATTCTTTGATTTCATAATCCCTTTTCTTTTGACTGCACTACCGTATCCCATCGCTCCTTAGATGGATAGTGCAGATCTTCTCTATAGCGCTGATGATTAGTGATTATGAACACTTTTAAAATTTGATTATACCACAGCTTCATTGATTATCTATTAATCGATATATTGATCGTTGATGTTATATCGCTGGCATTTCTCGCTTGGTCTCTTATCAGCGCTCTTGCTGTGTTGCAACGGTCTTTGCTCTTCGGCATTCCTCGAGATCTGCCTGCGTCGTATTCTCGTAAACTCTCCCGCATATATTGATCGATATTGATTTGTTTAATACCAACAATATATATTGATTTATGTGTTACAGTGTGATGAACACTCTGATGCAGATGGGTCCAATGATGGTAATGGAGGGTCCAAATGGTATGCATCAAGCGTTTCCACAACCATCGCAACATATACAACAACAACCGCCGATTACTTCTAGTATGAACAGATCACAAAGGTTAGTCAATCGATAAAGATCGATTTTTTCTCTCTCGGTTCTCGGCTTTCTCCTTTACAAAACGTTTATGTTGACTAATGCATTGTGAGACACAGTTTCATCTCCGCACAGCGAGTGAATCAGATTACGAAACGTTGCAAATGCTCCGTCCGTACTGCTTGATCGATCAATGCTCGGAAAAGTTGATAAATAAACGATATTTTGAGAAAGCCCCAGAAAGTATAGCGAAAACAGATGCTTCATCACCAAATTTATTTACCCAGCAATTCATCCGTCCTACGAGGTCCTGTGGAGATTGGAAGATCATGGCCATGAAGACTTGCCGTCGATTTCCGGGAGATTGAAATTCAAAAAAATGTGGGATTCATTCCTGGAACTGATCAGTTGTGGGATGCGTCCATGCGTTCGACTTCCACCCAAAATCGTAACGGCGTTTGAATGAGTGTCGGCCCATGCGATGACTCGAGCAGTCGGCCATTAAGGAAGTCATCGCTCTCACCTTCCCACATGAATCCGATTCCGATTGTGTGACCCAAAAGCATGAAAGTCTCGATCGGTCTGACGATTGAGGCCCGAGCTTTAATCGTCGACCCATATTTGTATGAGGGAGCTTCATATATGGGCACTACTCCACCCCCTCCTCCTCCTCAACACTAGATAAATATTCCCGCAAGTGTTGAAAAAATGTAAATGAATACTCTATGGGGTCAATTTGTCAATGACGAGCACGGCGTTCACAGCTGTTCAACTCAAACTGTAGAACGATACTGGAAGCCGTCGTCAGAAAACTAAAGTGAGGCTGTGGGAGAAACACGGGGAACAGGAGAAAACACCGGGTCGCAATTCGTAAGAATTTACCTACATCATGGGTAAAGGCCAATTCCAACAATGCCTAGGACTGAAGGGTAAACACGATCTAGGTCCCTTTTTGTATTTTTTTCTAAAACCACTCAATCTGACAACTTTTTCCCTCGTCTTATCATTCTAAATGCTCAACCCTTCTAATTCCATAAAAACGAAATTTAGTGCAGGGCACACTCTTACCGTATTCTAGCTACTGCTTCATAGTACTATTATTACGGAACTGATTCTACGATATTTTACGTCTTGAGTAGTAGAAGCAATGGGAGGGTTACGGTAAGGGTTCGAGTCCTTACTGAATTCCCTTTCTTCTTAGGATACCTCATGAGCTTCTACCTCTCAGGCCAGAAGGGTTAGAAGTGTTCGAAAGGCCTTGACCTCTCTTCTTTCTCTCCCAGAGGCACTGTATCCAAGGGCCAGCTTTTCTTGGGAGCCATTGACTTTTCTAGAAAAAGGGGTTTTATGACCTATGTAAATAGTTCCCATGTTAGTAGGTTCGTTATCGATTTATTGATTGCCTTTCAGATGTGGAGTATGTCGTGGGTGTCAGTGTAAACCATGTGGACAGTGCACATATTGCCAAGATAGTCCACAATTCGGCGGACCAGGTGTCAAGAAACAGAGTTGCATCGAGAGGAGGTGTTTGCGTGTGTTAGAAAACAGACTTCAGGTGAGTATAACTCCTTCAAAGTTGGTCTTTGAAGATTCTTTGAAGGTTTTGGTGAAACACTTCCTCTTGGGCTCCTTACTCCCAGAGATATTTGAGTTTTCAGAGAGACGCGCCTACATTCAAAGCTCGTGTTGGATGTAATCAGTGTGAAGATTGCAGAATGCCCGATTGTCAAATTTGTCTAGTCTGCTTAGATAAGAGGTAAGGTCCTAAACAGATAATATCGTAATCAAATGGTCGTTTGGCCGTGTCAACTCAATTGGTCGCTTTACAGTGGACAGTTACTCAGGTATAGCACGGGAAATGCAAAGGCTAGGGCAACCTTTAGCAATAATTGGTCTCAATTTGGGATGCGCCATACACTCGAGTTCCATTCGCAATCATAGAGACGTGTCGGTGCCTACATCGGTAAAGAGTAGCTGTGTCGAGAATGGCCCAGGTAGAGGCGGATCCTCGGGTATTGTGTGCACCGATAGCAACATTTACCTCTACTTCATCCATTGCCAACGAATTTCCCTTGTAATAACTGACTGGCTAAGAACGATATGGTTCCAAAAGGGTTTGGTTAGGTACAAGGAGGAGATGGAAAGGCAAAGTAAGTGGGAAGCTATCAATTCTTGAGTATTAATTACTTGTTGGCAAGCGTCGTCGCCAACATAAGGGATAAAGGATAAAGTCTTTAGGCGTTAAGGCTTGGTTGGCCTACGAATATCAATACGGGATTTGAACCCGCAACCGTGCGTGCGATATAGTGCACCACTTGCCACTACACCACCTCCGCCCATCGCCAATATAGCTAAGAATCATTGCGGACTGCGCTTATAGGGACATGCCCTTGGGTTTACGATAATATTTTCTTATTTTTTCCNTCTCTTTTAAAAGGGTCTTATAAGGGTCTCAAAGCACCAGCTTACGACAATTTTTCAGATTTTTCGATAACCGTTACATGACTGGTGCGATGTGTGCGAAAAAACGTTGCAATAATGCGACCAGTATCGAGCTACCAGCACAATCACCCCAGTCAATGCACGAGTTCCAACAGAGACAGGTTGGTGCACGATCATTGATTTTTGCAACCATTTTCTTGCTCGTTTCTTAGATCAATCAAAAGATAACCTACCGGCACGTGCCATCCAACAATAGCAGGAACCTCTGTACAGTGTCATATTTATCAATCTGTGTAGTACAGGCATTTCAGGCCCAAAAACGTGCCTATGATCAAGGAGCTCCGCCACCGATTCATTTCGATATGAAACGTCGTGGAATGGACGTCACTTACGGAATGCCAATGCCACAAGTACAAGGTCATCAGCAACAAGTGCCACAATCGCTTGGACATCCACACGCCCAGCAAAATGCTCGTATACTTGCTATCAATCCAGCTGTGAATTATGGTTAGTCTTTGTATGCTTAGGGTACATACGTACAGTAAGCCGGGTCCCAAATAATCTCGGACAGGAGTGGGTGGGGCGATAGAGACGCAGAGGACTTGTTCCAATCACGGGGCTCCCAGTTACGTTGGTCTAGTCATCTACATTTCAACCGAATTTTTACGACTAGAAGGTTGGGTAAGAGGAAATTGTTATGGGCCAATCATAAGGCATGGTTCCGCCCTTGTGGGCGTGGTCTTTACCTTCTATTGCCCAGCTGAGCTTTTCGTCCCTGAAATGATTTTGTAGGTAACGAAACGTACCTATCCGAGGTTCGGGGATATATCCGTAAGGATGGTGGGTTCCAGAGCAAAAGTAGGCCCAAATATTCTAGGCAACGGTAAAGACCTCGAAGGACATGTCGCGCGACGCGGCAACTAACTAAGACAACTTGTTAGACGGGACAACTAGCTAAGAATTGTCGCGCGCTTTCTAATGGGATCGGGTCCCACCCCTGTTTTAAGATTCCCCAGTAACGTGCCCAGGTGTCNCAGTTCCGAGTGGGGTTAACAGTTATCGATGTTGTGTTGTGAAGCAATCCGTCAGTGCTATGCATTTCAGATTTTGCAGGCTTACCTGCAATGGGAGCACCACGAATGCTGCAATGTGGACCGCCTCAGCCACCACCACCACCACCGCCTCCACTCAATGAGCCTTCCTATCTGCTGCCCACCTATGGTCATACCTCACCGACACCGGTCGAATTTTACAATCCGAAATCATATACATTTGAAGAGATCACACCGAATGGTGATCCATTTATACCACCCAGTTATGCGCCGGAAATGAAAAACGCCGTCGTACTGCAGCCACTCTAAAGGGGCCGAGCCACCGCGAAACACTGTCTGTGTGCCGATTTAGCTGGCCAACAAGCAAGCGTACTCGTTATGCAGGCAGTAGTAGCAGCGGTTTTGCTCTCGTTATTACCTAGGTAATGATCGTAGTCTGTGATGTTACGAAATCGCGTCATAATCGAGAAGCGCATTATATTATCGTTGTTAATAAGGTACCAATTGTGATTTTAAGCAAAGTTTCAGCCTCCTACCCCCTTCCCCCTTCTTTTCCTACCCACCCTTTGCGGTTATCTATCCTTCAAGTGTAGGTCACATCGTTTTCTACAGCCTAGTCGTTGTAGGCGCTGTAGCAGTAGGCAAGCATTTCAGCCTATCCATTGTGAGCTGCCATTGGGTGTATGTGTCTGCGTATGCTGGTGGTTGTACCTTACGCTGTGGAACGGAACGGCTTTTGAGACATCGTTAACCAGGCCTCTGGCCAATTGAAACCTCTTGATAACGGGTGTTTACTACTCGAATCAGCGACGCTTATCGTGTGCCTCTAATGTTTGAGAATGAGTCGTTTCGGGATCCTAGGCAGATCTTTTCTTTCATTCTCGCCTTCTCATTGGCTGCTGTCCAGCAGTAACCAATAGAAGCGCTGGAATTATGAGCGTGCCGCATCTTGCACCCAATGCGCCTCCTGCGATCTACCTTCACACCGCTCCTCCCCCTCAAGGAAAGCCCCGCCCACTTTCAAAGGCGTTTCCCCCCGCACCACTTGGGATCACCAACGCTCGATTAACTTTCTTCGCCGCATCAGGGACTGTTGAGTTTTTATTATTTTTTTTATTCTCTTTGAACCCTTGCTGTGACTTTTCCATATTAACCGCTCCGAATTCATTTATTATTCATCTTATTTTGTTCTCATCTTTATTATTATTATCATTATTATTATTTTTGCTCGCATCCATACTACTACTACTGTTTTGTTGTGCAATGCTATCACTGCTGTTCACTCCCGTTTGTCGAGCTTCCCTCACTCACCACGAAACCTCGCCGCCTCCTCCATCCGAACTCCTCGTCGTCCTGCGCCGGTTGGTCGGTTTTCCCCTACCCGACCAAGACCTCTCTTCCAATCATCCCCGAAATGTTTTTTTTTTCTTTCGTATTCATTTAATCATTTATATGTGTATGGTTTTACAACCCCGTTGGTTATCTATATGTTTATTGATTGATCTATTTTCTCTCGTTTATGTATATGGCTAAGCAATAATTCGAAAGTGTTTAGTGTTGTCGAGTGCCTTACTACCATTTCCACCCCCCATCCCCCTCCTCTCCTTCTTTCCTTTCGTCTCTTATAGTCCCCTAAAATCCAGCCCTTGATTGTGGTGTCTATGAAAGATTTACTTACTTCATCAGAGATGCCAAACTCCGCCCCCGCGTGTCGTAGATTGCATCAAAGTCCCGCCCCCTCATCTTGACCAAATTATTGATTTTTATAGAGAGAGATTTTCCTTACTTCTTTTCATCCACATATTCTGTTATGATAAAAGTCTATTATACTCTCAAAGTGTGCGTCTCTTTCTGTTTTATTTACCATACATATATGTGCATGTGTGTTTGTACTGTTTTTATATTTTTTCCCAACGAGATTTCACGTGCACGCTATTCGGCGTGCACGCGCATAACGGGCATCTCAGCGTTGTATCGTAGTAGCACCGCCCCCAGTCTTCCTCCCAGCCACCGCGCTCCCCCGCCTTCTCATCACTTGTGTGTTCGTAAAAAATCGATGGTTATCGATTTTACGCGCGTACCTATGATGTGAGTACACCGTTTTTTCTAACGTATCTCTCACTCTGTCTTCATCTTCCTCTTTTTTTTTTCATCATGCACCGATTGTACAGTTTTTTCCTACCATTTCACCTCTATTCTTTTTCATATTATCGTATCAGTTTGTAGTCGATGATTAACGCAGATGTTTTTTTTTTCTTTTCCTTCATTTCTTCTACTTTTCCCCCACAATTTCTTGCTAGCTCTGTCCTCGTACATTTCCAATTTTTTTCCCTATTTTGTAATGTGAAAAAGATGCAAAGATACACCCAAAAACTCCATCTAGAGATTGAAAGTAAGCGTGCTCCAGGTTATATTCATTTTGGTGTCAGCGTATTGTTTTTTACTGTGAAGAAAATTGATAAATTTTTAATAATCCTCTGTTTATTCACTGATTTATTTGTTGTATCAATGAAATACAGCATGACCAACATTTGAAAATCATTTGGTTTAATTACCCAAGTTTGAGGGCTGCAATGGCACGAACAAGTTCGTCGGGATAGATCTGTACATGTGCAACATCTTCAAATGTGGCAGTATATTGAAGCTGGTCCCACCAAATGTCATAGAGTACTTAGTTTCCCATCACTGAACGCAGCACGAGAACGTGGTTTCATGCGAAGAGTTGCTAGCTTGCAGTTCATTTCAAAGAAGTTGGAACTCAGTGAGAAAGTGCGTGCCTACGTGAAAATAAGATACAAGGACGCCTCCAAGTTCATTATTTGGCAGGAGTGTCGGCTAGAAGGGAGTGAGGGCAAAGGCAATGTTCAATGTGAGGTGTTTCCTCATGCAAGTCCAGTACGTTTTCCTCCTCGTGAACATGTTCCGAGAACAACTTTGAATCAGGCTGAGCTGGATGACTATCGTTCTCCATACCTGCCGTGCACCATTAATAGCGTGGCACGATCCGATTCAGAAGATTCCAGCAGCGCAGAATCGGTACTGGGGATGACTCGGTTGTGACGGCCTCTCCTCGGAATCCACTCTTTCTTTTGTTACAATGCTATCAGAAAAATGTGGAAAAGTCGCTGACAAATCGATGTATATTTTCACTAGAGAAGTGTGTACTCATCAGTAGTGGAAGTTATTTGCAACGATTTCGCTGTTGATGCATTGTCGTCCCTCATATCTGGATTTATCTGTTCTAATGTATTGCTCTGTCCTCTTTTTCTATCTTCAACTAATACCCCTTTTCGTCTGGAAACTATTTAGACCCGATAGCTTTAATTGGTCTACTTTTCTTAGGATTTTTCTTCTTGTCTTCTTTTTCAGTGCAAATCATCTCAAACTCCATGGCATCGTATCATTACTAGGATCAGTTATCGAGCTTTTCCTCAAGGATGACATTCTTGTTTTCTTCATGATAGTGAGGTCACATGACTCTGTGAGATTGTTGACATAGCCACAGTAAAATAAATAACTGCTGAATATTCGTTTCGATGGCGACTGACTTTTCCGTTAAGGGTCATCGTAAGAGTTCTCCTCTCTTATTGGGGTACCAGTCGGGCTCCGCACACTAACACGTGTCCCACAACAGAAAAGCGTCAAGCCTTTCCTGCCTTCTGGGATGTTATTGGACGGAGGAATAAATTTTGAACTTAGCCCCGCCTATCTCTGTGCAAACCTCGCCCATTTCAAAGTTTTAACCACGTTTCCATTACCTGTAACCACTTTTTCTCCGCTTTCAGGAACGTTTTTGAGCATTATTATACGAATAGTTATATGTATTATATGTTTTTGAAATGAAGCTTCCATTTGAAAATCGTAGAAGGTAAGGTTTTCTAGTCATTTGCAGTTTGTTACTACTTTTTGTCGTCTGTATTATGAGACATACAACAGAATTAAAGGCGCAGTTCACTGAAAAGATGGTTCGTGAGAGTTCTCCCTGGGCTGAACCTGTGACACCCATGGATAGTACGGGGAACGCTGTCGGGTCCAAAAACAGTTTAAATAGGATGTAATAAGGGTCCTGAAACCGACCTAGCCGACGCACACGCCCAAAGGTGGACGAGTTGTCACGGTGTAGAGGCAGAAGGAGTTGCATCATTCGCACCGGGACCAACAAGTTGCACGTAGGCACTCTACTGTACCTAGCTGTACGTAATGGTGCAAACACTCAAACACTCAACACTGGGCCTTCATAATATCGTTCGAATTCTGAACAATGTGGAGTATTTGGTACAAGTAAGGAAGAGCTCAGAAATCCAAATTGTGCCTAATGCTCTCCTTTATAGTTTTGGGGTTAAATTCTCTAGACTTATGTTTGCTACTGCTTTTATCTACCTGAGGTATCCAAAACCACCAAATTTCCTTCCTACACCGTTCTTTTCACAAACTTTTCATGTTTGTTAAGTACAGGGGCCTCTTCACTTTGATTTTATACAACTAATTACATCTCAAAATATTTGCACAAACAAAAAAAAAATCGGGAATACAAAAATATTGGTGGGGCAATAGAAAGGGCAATTCACTTGATTATCGTGAGTAGTGTAGGTGTTGGTGGGAGCCACATCGTACCTGGCGACCCATTGGGCTGGGTTAACTCGTGGTCGGTCCAGCCTTTCCCGTCTGCAGGAGCGCTTATGAGGGCAAAGTCATCGAATTAGCCTGGGCAAGGGGATCGGAGAATCTTTAAATAATCGTGAGAACCCAGGGAACTGCTTCACCGGCTCTGAATGCGCCGTTTATTATTTCGAAAGGTAGTACTGAGTATTTGTTTCTGTTTATTAATTAATTAATTTGCTTATTTGTTTATGCGCCCGACTCGATCCGCCTAACATCATAAGCCTAGTAAACTCTACAACGTTCAGTGGGATAAACAGATCCTTTGAAGGAAAGAGAAGTTCCACGTCCAGAGGGAACAGGCTTGAGCAACCACCTACACTAGACATATGTGGTACCCTCTATCGCCTCTTATGGGGTCGATTTTAATGACAGGCACTATACGCTCCGCTAATGTTGATGAGGTCCTTGAGACCATTAAGGCTCTCCATTGCTGTGTTCTTCCTCTTTTAGGGGAACATCAGTGAAGGAGGACGTTGCAGATTGATCAAAGGTTGTGTAAGTAAAAGTATAAGTTTCAGGTTATATCCTTCGTTTATCCGACAAATCTCTCTCTCCCAGAGGGCCGTAGATCATATTTCGTGGGTGGTTTATCTACGGGACCGGATGGGTCTGTTAACGAATGTGCATAATTGCTTTACTATCCGTAGCGTCACCAAACCTCATACGAACAAAAAATTTTGAAAGTTCATGGAAATGGACGACTTTGGCTCGAAGAGAAGGGAATCAGTGCGGCGGTAGGACTCCTGTACGTCTTTTAAGACCTCACTGGCCAGGGTCGTGTTGCCTAGCCTCTTGACAAGCTTCCCGTCGTCCCTTCTCAGTCATCAATCGTTTCCCTCATCGTTTATCGATGTCTTCCTAAAAACCTAGGCAAGTTAACCGTGCACTGTGCGGTGACTTTACCCTCGTTTGTAACGCTATTTTCACTCTTTCAATGGAAATTGCCAGCTTTCGTTTTCACTTGAGTCCATAATTCATGATCAAATGAATAGTGATTGTTATCTGTTTGCTTCGCTATGCGTTACCGTTTCCCGTTATCAAAGTGACCCCTTTTTCTGCCACGAATAGGGAAGATATGAGTGTAGCCGTGACAAACGTTGGTGAACCCCATGCTCTTACCTTTTTTACACCTTCAAAAAGGTCCTACTCCCACATAGCGTGTCGTAAAAAGGAATGAATGTTTGCGTGGGAAGTTTGGTCGTTTGTTATGGGCTGTATTACCGGCATCGAAGGAGTGGAAATGGCTAAGGTAAATGGTAGCTCGAGATAGGTGTTCAGGTATTCTGGTTCATCTATCAACAGGTTTTCCCCTGCGTTTTATCCTCTCACATATCTAAAAAACGTCGGCTTAGGAATAGCTGTACTGAGTTTTGTAGTGTTTTTGAAGTGCTATGCCATGGGTTTCATCAGACATTCATATTCCACTGAAATTTTAGTCTGTAGTCTAAAGGCGGTGCCTCACAAGTTTTCAGTGGAATATGAATTACTGATGAAACCCTTGACCATGGCATAGCACGTCAAATCAAATGTGGTAGTACATAGGAAAGTTGCTACTATAAGCGGACTGAGTCATCTAGAGTGGGAGTTTCCTCACTAGTTCACTCTCGTGTAGCTAGATTCCATTTAATCTGAAATTGGGGATTTGGTGCAGGAAGAGGGTGATTGGGTTACTCAATATGTATAGTAAAAGACAAAAGGATAATCTTGGGTCCCTGATCAATCTGAGGGAGTGCATTCGACTCCATTCAGAAT